ACAAATTTTTTTAAAATAAAATTAATTTTACATAAACAATGTACTTTTATTGTAATTTCACAAACTATTACTTCTTTAAGGTTACGTTAAGTTTATTTATAGTTTATAACATGTTTATATTATCATGTCTTGTGACATAGCTAAAAAATTTCTATTCATATATAAAACATAAATTATTTCTAAACGTCAAATAAATATTGAAATCTTCTACAATATAAATAAATCAAACACATGTGAAAAAATTTAAGGCATCATTAGTCATATATATTGTGAATCGGGCTCCTGGTGGACAGCCTTTCCACACGATGGTTACCAATTTGGGCATGCCAAATTTTGTCAGTCAGCCCACTTGAGGTGGTTGTGTTGAACTATAGTGTAGTTATAGTTAGTTGTTGGTTACTTAGTTATTAGACTAGTAATTACTTGTCAATTAGGAAAAAAGGGTGTTTTCTTTTGTTTTCCTTGCATAGTATAATAAATAGCTATGATTGTAATGTGTGAAAAACAGAAAACAAAATAGAGGACATTTTCCCCCCAACTTTTTTTTCCTCCTGTTTTCTTCTTCAGGCATCTTAATACATTAAATTTCAAGTAATAAAATAAATATGCAAGTTGCAAGTCAACACACAAGATACAAGCCATAAATTTGCGTTATACATGAATTTCATGATTATCATCAATTTTCAAACAATAACAACAAATTAAAGAATACATGAATGCAAGAAACAATAACACACAAATTGAATAAATATGATTAGACCAAATTTTGGCAACTATATTATATACTTGAACTCAATCTCCAATTGAGAGAAGGCTTTAATACGATTCATAAAATTTGGAAGCACGAATCATCTGATCGTGAATCATTTCTTGGGAGAGTCCCCATTGTTTGAGCTCCTCGGGTTTGTGATGAATAGCGAGGCTATATTCCCCGTTATGTCCAAGTTCCAGGACTCTGCACTCACAGTTAGAGGGGTTTGCTAAGGCCTCAAACTCATTAACAGTCCAGTTGAACCATTTCATGAGAAATAGGAGAATAGTTAGTCCATGTGACACCACAACCAAGTTAAGCTCTTCATCGCATTTGAGTTTATTGACCTCCATGTCCCTCCATAGCCCTTCAATGAAGCCTGCAAAATTAAAAATCAATCATTTAATATATAATCTAATGAAATATTTTTTTATTTTTATTTTTATTTTTTTTTTGTTTTTGATGAAC